ACACACACACACACACACACATAAATTAAAAAAAAAAAAAGAATATTTACTTTGGTTTCCAATTTATTTGCCCAGTAGAAAATCAAGAAGTAAAATCAAAGAGCCTGATACAGAAGTACCAGAACACTTTTTTGCTATTGTTTTTATTTTTTTGAGATACTATCTAGCTATGTCCAGGTTGCCCTCAAATTTATGTAGCTCAGGGAGGCCTCACACACAAACTTAATGCAATTCTCCTGCCTCAGCCTCTGTCCAGTTTTGGAATTATAGGAGTATGCCTGTAATCACATTTGACTTATACATTTTTTAAAAGAGTTAGGGGTGTAGCTCAGTGGTAGAACACTTGCCTAATATGCAGAAGGTCTGGGTTCAATCCCCATATCACCAAAAAAAAAAAAAAAAAAAAAAAAAAAAAAAAAAAAAAAGAGAGAGAGAGAGAGAAGTAAAGTTTAAAATACTGTATTAAGATGGTTAGTATAGGGGCTGGGGAGATGGCTCAGTAGGATAAGTGCTTGACTGGCAAACGCAAGGATATGAGTTCAATCCCCGGTTCCGTCAAAAAAAAAAAAAAAAAAAAAAATGGTTAGTATAATGTGCCTATCAAAAGATATAGTAAGGGACATTTTTTTTTTCCCTGAGACAGAGAAAATCACTATTATTTTATTTAGGGTACTTGCATGATTATTTATAAGGCAAGATTCTTACACATACAGCTCAGCACGAGTTTAATACATGCTATGAAAAAAATGCTATAAATATAAACAAGACTTTCCTCAAATGGTTAGATGGAAAGTTCCTTAGTCAATAACCTTAGAAAATTTTTTAAAATTTTTAACTGAAGACTAGTTCTCTAAAGGATATGAATTTTAAATTATTAGCAAAAATCAACATTTATAGGCCAGGGATTTAGTTCAGTGGCACAGCTCCTGCCTGCCAAGCATGAGGCCCTGAGCTTGATTCCCAGTACCAAAAAAAAAAAAGAAAGAAATCAATACCTAAAAGTGATAAAGATCAACTGAAGAATGGCTAAAAAGGATGTGGTATTTTTATGCAATGGATGCTGGGTGTTGTGGCACACACCTGTAATCGCAGCACTCAGGGGAATGAGGCAGGAGGATCCTTGCAAGTTTATGCCCTGCCTGGGCTACAAAGCAAGCTCAAGGCCAACTTGAACTGCACAGTGAGACCTTGTCTCAAAAAAGACCAAAAAAAAAAAGAAAAGAAAAAAAGAAAGGGGGTACTGGTGAGATAATTCAGCAGACTAAGTGCCTGCTTAGGCAAGCACAGGGAACTGGGTTCCATCCCCAGCCACCATGTGCCACACTGGCCATGCCCTGCCCCCAGCCACTGAGTCCAGGTGAGTGTGGTGGCCCACACTTGCAATCCCAGGGCTGGAAAACAGGAGGATCACTATGAGTCCCAGCTGAGAACCAGTCCCAAACACATTAAAAAAGAAAGTGTACTACTCAGCCATAAAGAAGGATAATCTTGAGGGGCTGGGGAGATAAGCTCAGTAGAATAAGTTCTTGCCTGGCAAGCACAAGGTCCTGAGTTCAATCCCCAGTACCGCGGAGAAAAAAAAAAAAAAGAAGGATAAACTTGAGAGACATTTATAGGGAAATAGATACAACTTGAGTCCATATTCATAACTGAAATATATCAATCTTGCATGTAAACACTGTACTGTCTCCCTAGTCTAAGAAGCTGAAAGAATGAATAGGAGCCAAAAGGTACGATAGATACTGTGACATGGGAAGAAACTGCTCAAAAGCAAAGAGAAACTGGGATGGGGGAAAGGAGAAAAGAAGGAATGGAAAAGGAAAAATAAACACACACACCCCAAATAGTTATACTACTAATTGCTATTAGTGAGAAGAAAAATTTATGCCAATACTGTAGGATCACTTTATCATACTTATGTCCTGTAATATGAGCAGCTACTTTGAAGTTAACATGCTATGTACTAACCATTGTTATACTCCTACAATCTTGATTTGAAATTTCATACCACTGTTTTATTTTTCTTTTCTTTAAAATACAAAAAATGCAAGAGCAATAATGAGCCGTTAACAGAATAAAAAAAATTAATTTTACAAGTTAAATTTCTAGTTTATGACATACCAAAATGGTGTGTGATTCTTACCTTTTAAACTGACAAGAGCTTTTGCTGAAGAGCCTACAATTAAAGATAAAACAAATCAATAATTGTTTTATAATCAAAATGAGAGAAAAAGAATTAGTTTGGGGAGTTAAAGTGATCAACTTAGGTTTGAGCAAGCCTGAGCTTGAAGCAACAGTGAGATGTATGGTTAGTTTAGAAATAACTAGTAGACAATTTAAACAGTAGACAAAAACTCAAATAGATTTAGGAAGAACTGAGACATTTACCAGGCCTTTGAAGTTCTGAAGTTGTAAACCATTTTGAGAGAGATTGATATAGTAAGGGAAGAGAAAGGAAAAGTGGGGACAGGTATAATTTTGAATCTCATTCTAAGTGCTCTGGTACTAGAAGAAATTAAAAAGGGAACTGATATTTACTTAGACAGATCAGAGAAGGAAATGGAATGGAGAAAACAGAAAATGGAAATTTTCCAGGTCTACTTTTTTTTTTTCCGGAACCAGGGATTGAACTCAGGCCCTTGTGCTTGCCAGGGAAGCGCTTATTCCACTGACCCATCTCCCCGGCCCTCCAGGTCTACTTTGATAGTAGTTATTGCCTACTATCATCGTAGGCAATATCTCCCTTGAAAATCTAGAATGCATGTACAAATACCATACTTAAGGGTCAAAACTGGAAAAGGGAGTTCAAAATAGCCATTGCCATTTATGTGGCATAAATATGGAGAGATTCACTAGATGAAACAAACTTTAGTACATATTAGAATAATCAAGAAGTTCCTCATACACACAGAATCTGCATTACTGCCTGGCATTATTGTGTGCTTCTACAATTCCAGACCTTGGGAGGCTGAGGCAGGAGGATCACACACTTGAAGCCAGCCTGGGTTACACAGAGAGTTGAAGACTAGCCTGAACTACACAGTGAGTCCCTGCCTCAAAACAAACAAAATAAAAAGAACCTGTACTATTATTATTATTATATTTTGTGTTCTTGAGAAAGGTCTCGCTATGCAGTGCAGGCTTTTCTTGAACTCACTATGTAGCCTAAGCTGGCCTCAAACTCAGCAATCCTCCTGCCTCAGTCTCCTGAGTGCTGGGATTATAGGCAACCACATCCAGCATTACTAGCAAAGCTCTTCAGGGATAATCCACTTTGAGAATCACTGAGCTACAGGTTTTCTATGAATAAAAGGAAGGGAGGGGGGCCAGGGAGATGGTTCAGTAGAAGTGCTTGCCTGGCAAACACAAGGGCCTGAATTCAATACCCGGTTCCACAAAAAAAGAAAAATTAAAAAAGAATAAAAATGAGGGGGCTGGGGAGATAGCTCAGTAGAATAAGCACTTGCCTGGCAATTGCAAGGGCCTGAGTTCAATACCCGGTACCAAAAAAAAAAAAAAAAAAAAGAATAAAAATGAATAAAGGGAAGGCTCTACAGAGTAGTAGAGAATCAATGGAAAAACTTTTTAAAAAACTGTTCTCAACGATTAGTGAACAAAGGCAGTAAAATCATGGGCAAGAGATGTTAGAAGTATGCCATAAAATCTTGCTTAAAAGCCCCAAATAGCCCCGGTTCTGCCAAAAACAAACAAACAAACCTAGTGCTACCAGGACCTCCTTTAAAAAAATAAATAAAAGCCCCAAATAATACAGCACAAGGGGCTGGGGAGATAGCTCAGGAGAATAAGTGCTTGCCTGACAAGCGCAAGGGCCTGAATTCAATCCCTGGTTGGGCGGGGGCAGGGAGGGAGAGATAAAGCACAACTGAGAAGCAGCAAAGTAGACAGTACACTGATCCAAGCTGCTTTTAAGAGAAATGTAATTCCTTTAAGGAAACAGTAGTGACTACTTGCTGATGCAGTGACTCTATGTTAAGCACTGACTATAGACCAGTCTCTGAGAAGGCAATCAGGATATAACAGCAATACATGAGGTGCTCATGATTAGCTTCTTTGGAAGGTGACAATAAGGATCTGAAAGAAGTATAGATCACAAAGAAATTCACTCATTTTCTATGAGGCAGGAAACATATTTTGGAGACTCGACCTGTGATTTTTAACCTATTTATTTTATTTTTATTTATTGGATACAGGGTCACATTATGCAGTTCAGACTCATAGTGATCCTATCTCAACCACTCCAGCACTGAGACTACAGGCATGTGCCACCATGCCCCGTTTCGGGGCCAGCAAGGTGCACTCAGGTTCTAGGAATAGAACTTGGGTCCTTGTGCTTGCCAGGCAGGTGCTTAGGCTGCTGAACTATCTCTCCAGCCTAACCGCTTTTTTTGAAAGCCAGTATTGTTGGTGGCCCAGAAAATAAGTTTGTGCTTTTTTTTTTTTTGCGAAACCGGGGATTGCACTCAGGCCCTTATTGTACTGAGCCATCTCCCCAGCCCCCCAGAAAACAAGTTCTATCTAGACTGAGATTAGCTGTTTGAATCCTGGGTCTGTTAGTTTCTTGGTATGACACCTTCCCCAAGTTACTGGCTCTCTCAATGCTTCCATTTCCATGTGTAAAATGGAAAGTAAATAAAAGTATAGAACAGTGTACACAGTACACAGTTAATCTTCATTCAGTGATTACTGTTCGTATTTATTGCAACCAACCAAAAATTATTAGGCCAAGAGTACAATTTTACAGGCACATGAATGTGACTCATCTCCTGTTCTAACTGGATATGCTTGTTCATTCACTCAACTAGTATTTACTGAATGCTTGCCACAAACAACACTGGGGAGGGGGCTGAGGAAACCCCACGGAATAAGCCTCTGCTCAAAGAAAGTTTACATTCTACAAAAGATATACATTAAACATAAAATAATAATTACAGTTCATGCAGTTTTGCTCTAAAGGAAATGAACTGGGTGACACTTGTGTATAGGAGTAGCATTTACTTTACATAGGACAGGCTTTTTAGAGGGGTAACATCTGAAATGAACTAATCATGTGAGAGCAGATCAAAGCATGAAGATGAAAGAGTAGGAAAGAAAAAACAAAACCCTGAGAAACTAGTTTAGAATATTCAAGGAAGTGGGAGGAGACTGTATTTGCCATGAAGGAGGGGAAAGTGATAAAAGGCTAGAGAAGTATGCCAGATGTTATCAAGACAGAGCTGGGAAGGCAAGCGGAAAAAAGAAAAAAAGGGCAGGGGAGATAGCTCAGAGGCACAGCACCTGCCTGGTAAGTGTAATCCTGAGTTCAATTCTGGCACCAAAAAGAAAAAGAAACAATGCATCCTCTGGTGGGGTTACCAACCAAGTAATCACACAAATGGAAAACGGCAAGTGTTACAACTGCAATTCAGAAGTTACACAGTAGTATACAAGATTAAAAAACACATAATTAATTGAGTCAGAAAGAATGAGCAACTCTGAAGAAGCTTAAAACAAGAACTAAAGGGTAAACTGAAGTTAAGTGGAAAAAGAGAAGTAAAGAGTATCCCAGTTAGAGATTACCATGTGCAAAAGCCATGCAGAAAAGGGAGGCTGGTGAACACATGGGAGGAGAAAGGTCTAATTTAGCTCAAAGGAACAGAATGAGAGGACAGTGGCACAAGGGAAACTGAAGAGGCAGCTTGCTGCTAGGTAGCTGCTTCGTGGTTTTAAACATGTGTACATTTTGAAAGGATTTCTTTGGCCTGTGGGGATGGGCGTAGGGGTGGGTTAACGGGAACAGAAGTGGTTCCTGAAAGAAAAGAGATAGTGACAACTTGGACTATGTGATGGTAGATGAAACTGAGAGAAAACTCCAACACTTATTTGGTAAAGGCTTAAACAAGAGAAACTTAAGGGCAAATTTCAGAAGATAACTTCTAGAGTTCTGCTCTGCCAGCTGAGTACAAAGTGAAACCATGCATTAAGACATGGTATCTATGTCCTGGGTGGGATTATGAGGTAGAGTTTGAGCTCTGATGTTTGATGGGCCTCTAAAGCATCTAAGAGGAGATGTAAAATACCACAAGAACTCAGAGGATAGATTTGGGCTAAAGATAGCTTCAGTTAGGGGCCAGGGAAATGGCTCAGTGGAATGAGCACTTCAATGGCAAGCACAAGGGCCTGAGTTCAAATCCCCAGTTCCGCAAAAAACAAAACAAAAAGATAGCTTCAGTTTCTTCACATACACAATCAAGTACTTACATCAATTAAAACTGAAGACTAAATGAGCAAATACATACAATTCTTGTTACTTTCTTTTCTTTTTTGGCACCAGGAATCAAATTCAGGTCCTTGCACTTGCCAGGCAGGTACTGTGCCCCTGACCTATACCTCCAGTAAGCAAATGTATATAAATATGCCTTACACAATATCAACTCATAATAATTAATGATAGGTTTTATACTGATGTTATAATGCCTATCACCTAATATATTTAGCTACTCGCTCCCTTGCCTAAACTTGGCAAAAACCAAATTGCTACCTTCAGTATCAAACTGAAACCATTTTTCCTTTTCAAGATCCTGTTCCATTTTAATATGCCTGTCATTCCACATTTAATCCCATATAAATCAAGTATTTACGTATATTTGATTTGTGGCCACTTTGTAACATACTAGGTGTGGCAATCTCTGTGGCCTAGCTACACAAGATATACCACACAAACACAGAGCCCCATTCCCCTAATATACCATTAATCATATTTTAGTTGCTATGATCAAATACCTGAGACCAACAACTTAAGAGGAAAAAGATTTATTTTGGCTCATGGTCTTGGTCCACGGTAACCTAGATCTTCTTTAAGCTTGTGGCAAGGCAGAGAAATGACAGAAGGCCATGGATGTAGAAAAGTTTCTCACTTATTGCAGCCAAGAATTGGAGAGAAAGATAAGGCCAGAGAGGAAGACACACAAAAGAAAATACAGTTCCTAGGTCATGCCCCTAAGACCTATTCCCTTCAATCAGACTCCACTCCTGCTTCCACTACATCGCAGTAATGCCATCAAATTACAAACCCATTAGTGGGCCAATTCACTGATTAAGTAAGACCCCTCCTGACCTAATCACTTCCCCCAAAGTCCATCAGCAACCAAGCCTTCAATACGAGGAGTCTTATGGAGGGTATACACATCTAAACCACAACAGATATTACATGGTAATATACATAACTAAGTTACATAGGCTGAGAGTATGGCTGGAATTTGAACCTTGGTATAAGTCCCAAATCTCGGAACCAAAATTAAAAAATGTTTTCAGAAGATAAGCATAAATAAGCACTCTAGATCACAATCCACTGTATTCTCTTACAGCTATACCTTATCAAGTACAGCAACCACCAGTTATTTAAAATTAAGATGAAACTTAAAGTTCAGCTCCAGTCTTTCTAGCCACATTTGAAGTACATCACAGCTTCTCAGTGAGTGCCTGTTCTGCTGTACACTGCTAAAGAGAACATTTCCATCATTGAGAAAGTTTGAGGACTTAATGCTGCTCTAGTGGAAATTTAAAACACAAACATTTTAAATACAACTTTTCACCAGCTTGGCAACTTGCTAACTTCATAACATATTAAGAATATATGACTCTACAAAGCAAGCAGCATTGGGAGTATCTTGAGCACTCGGTTTTAAAGTCTATGTTTTGCATGCAGATACAGGTTAGTGACAGCCTTTTGTTTTGATATACTAAAATTCTCACCAAGTGATATATACCTTTTTCTATTAAGAAACAAATAGCAATGAGACAGTTTCAAATCTGATTAACAGGACAGTTTCAATAATTAATACGTTATACATTGTTATCTTCTTAGTGGTTATCCATAGTATTAGATACAGATAGGATATCCTGTGATATATACTTTATATACCCAACAAGGATATTAGATTCAGGTTTAACTAAAATAAAATATCTAATTTTCTTTGTGATTTGTGTTAACACTGAAAATTACAAAATTAAGTTCCATTGCCCTTAAAATACAGAACTGGTGCTTTTCTTGACCCCATACATGTGAACATCGAAGTCTCTGGGCTGAGGATAAACTGGTAAAGTGAGGCAATGTCCAGGAGTAGATGTCAGCCAGAGCAGGATACACGTATATGTGTTGGAACATCTGTGCTGAAAAGACACCCCCCGCTCCCGGGTTCCCAAGACACATTCACGCAGCACAAAGTCCGTGGGGTGGGGCCACCCGAGCCCCGCGCGCGCAGTCCGGCTCATCTCGGGAAAGGCTCCCCAGCCACCTGTGGTCCCAGGGGAAGGGGCCAGCCCTCCGACGCTGAGACGCTTCCTGGGGGAAGAGCACCCGTCCCCGAGAGGCAGGCGCTGTCACGGGGCGCCACCAGGAGCTGGGCAGGAAGGTGCGGCCGCAGCCGGTCGGTGCCCGCCGAGCCTCCCGGCCCCCGGACGGGCGCGTTACATAACCGGCTGCGTCCCCCGCGTCCCGGGGCCGCTCTTCCCAACCTCCGCCACAGGCCGGGGTCGCGCCAGGGGAGCAGCCGGCGCCTCTGCCCTGCACCGACTAGACTCCTGAGCTTTCGGTTTCCGGCCCTGGCGTTCACACAACCCCAGAAACCAACACACAGACACCATAACAAAGGCGGCGACGCGGCGGCAACACCGGGTTAGGAGGACTAGGGGACCACGGCAGGGCTGGCAGGCAGCCTGCCGGTCAGGCAGAGGACATGGTCGCCCGTCCCAACCCGGACAGCCGTGGGGCAGGCGGCCAGCGGGAAGAGGTGGGTGCTTGAAGGTGCTACTCACTCTCGTCAGGCAACTGGTCGAGCTCCGCCATCTTGAACGAGCCGCGCCGCTTTTTCAAAGGCTGCCCGCCGCGGTGCATTGTGGGGCGGAGACTGTCTTTGCGAGGGAGGTTCGAATGCGCAGCTCGCGGCCCTCTGCGCCGCGCTGCTCCCGCCCCGCCCCGCGCGCCGAGGCGGCCCCGCCCCGTTCCCGCCCCGTCCCCGCCCGCGCGTCCGCTGAGCGGGATCCGCCCGGTGGCCAGGAGGGTCGGACAGCTTTCGGGCGCTGGGTTGGAGAAGCCGAGCGCGAGGCGGGCGCCTGCTGCCCAGTCCCGCCCGGCCGCCGCCCTCCCTCCTCGCGGCTCGCCTCGGCGCGTTGCGCGGCCCGGCTGCCGCTGCGGATACTGCGTGCTGCGTGTTCTGCGGTCAGAGCTAGCGAGACCCAGGCGAGCCGGGCGCCTAAGGGCCCGTGTGGAGAGACCTTGGATTTTCGGCGCAGTCCCACGGAGGCTGCCCACGCCAAGCCGCTCGGACGCCCTCCCCTGCTGTCCCCGAGTACTCGGGCTGCAGCGGTCACCCCGCATGCGGGCCCAGAACTCGGGGTGTCGGCCGCCACTGGTTCTAGGGACGCCTGCGCCCCCGAGTCGGGTGCCGGAGCTGGAGAGAGCCCTTAAAAGCTGCGAAATTGGCTCTGGCTGAGCGGTGACAGGAGGCTTCGCGGGGATTCGGCAGAGCCAGCTTGTGGTGGCGACACGACAAGGTGATCAGGTACCCGATCCAAATGTGACGAGGACGCGATTTGCGGATTGTTCTGCTGAAAGAAGCACAAGCAAAAATTTCTCACTTCTTGTCTGATAGTTTGCAAAAATAAACCACGGTTGCTTTTCAGCGATTCATTTAACAGATGTCGATGCGCTTTAAGCCCTTTCTCCTGAAATTTGTGCGGGATGGGGTTCGGGATGAACAGGTAAGCACTGAACGGACGATTTCGGTGAGTGAGTGCGTTCCAGGAATTAAGTGTCAGAAGGTGGCAGGTTGTGGAGGTGAAGTTGCTGAGAGCTCAGGAGGGAGGAGCCAAGTCTTACGGAAGCTGTCAGATTTCCCTGGATTTGACCAAGAAGGTGAGCTGGACAGGGACAGGATAAGAATCTGGCAGTTGAAGGTAGGGCAGGAGAATAGGAGGAAAAAAAGGATCAGTCATCAGCAGAGAGATGACTGAGGCCCGGATGTAGAATTTCGGAGGATGTCTTTGCTGTTAGTTGTACAATCCAAGACTAGTTTGTTTCATTGTTGTTTGGTGCCAGGGATTGAACCCAGGGCCTTGGCAGGCCTGGCAGATGCTTTGCCACTGAGCTGTATCCCTATGCCCGCCCATAAGGTTGTTTTACTTTAAATGAGTTAATAAGCTAGCAATTAATTACTACTCCCACCACTAAGCATGGGGAGTATCAGATAGTACTGCAGTTGCACTGGTGTACCTCTCAAGAGGTGTGAATAAGGAGGAACTCCAGGGTCCTAGGTTCCATTCCCACTACCCCAAAGGAAAAACAAAAACAGATAAAGGGACTCAGGGCCAGCCAAATAGCTCAGCGGATTAAAGTACCTGCAAGCAGGCACAGGGGCCAGAGTTCAATCCCCGCTCCTGGGGCGCACCGAGATGGTGATTGAGACTGGGCGTGGTGGTGTGCCTGTAATCCCAGCTCTTGGGAGGCTGTAACCAGGTGGATCACTAGAAGTCTAATCTAGTAGTGAGCCCCTGAACACCCTGTAGACCCTTCCCTAAAAATACAGGAAAAAAAAAAGGGACTCAGTAAGACTGGGAAGAGGAAGTGTTCATAAGTGATTTGTGCCAGTGCTGTAGTGGGAAGAAAAGCCAGAAGTGAGCGAGAGGGCACACAGGTAGTGAGTTTTTACTCTCACACCCAAACTTCTGAACACATTCTGACCCCTCTAAAAGGAACACCCTGCTCCCAGCACTTGGCTGGGCCCCTTGGTGTGTGGATGGGTGTCTATCCCACAGTAATCGGGAGGTGAGAGCAAGGAAATCTCTCCCCTTGGAGAAGGAAGGAAAAGAAATAAAGGTTAAGGACCACTGTGGAAATCAGTGTGGAGATTCCTCAGAAAACTAGGACCAGAGCTTTCAGTGGACCTAGCCATTCCTTCTTGGTATCTTCCCATAAGAATTAAAACCATCATCGGGGAGGCCGGGGAGATGGCTCAGTGGAATAAGTGCTTCCCTGGCAAGCGCAAGGGCCTGAGTTCAATCCCTGGTTCCGGGGGGGAAAAAAAGAAAGAAAGAAAGAAAGAAAGAAAGAAAGAAAGAAAGAAAGACAAAACCACAACACTACATGTTTTGGGCTGGAGAGATGGCTCAGTGGTCTAAAGCACCTACTTAGAACAAGCTTAGCAAAGCACAGGGACCGCAGTTCAATCCCCCAGCACCACATGCCACCCAGCCCCGCCCCCTGGTGGGCTGAGCTGGACACACACACACACACACACACACATTTAAATAATATTTAAATAAATTTAAAAAAGAAAACCATCATACCACAGAGATGTACGTTTTGTTTTTGTTTTCATACCCATGTTTATAGCAGTACATGTGCATTTCTAGTAGCTAAATCTTGGAAGCAGCCTAAATGCCCATCAACTGTGAATGGATAATGAAGATATGTTTTTTATACAGTGGAACACTACTCTTCCATAAAGAAGGATAAGCTGGAGATGTTTCTAGGAAATGGATACATTTTTAGACCATACTCTTTAGTGAAATAAATCAGGGCTGGGGAGTTAGCACAATAGAATAAGTGCTTGTCTGGTAAGCGCAGGATCCTGAGTTCAATCCCCGGTATGGAAAAGAAAAAGAAAAAAAGAAATCAGGTATATATGTAAATAGCACATTGTTTCTCTGTTATAAAAAATGGAAAGTGTAAATAAGGACCAAAATAAATAATAGATATTCAGAAATGGGAAGTAAACATTCAAATGGGAAGGGAAACTAGAGAGGCAGAGAGGGAAAAAGGAAGGGAAAAAAAAAAAGATGAGGAAAAAAAGGAAAACATAGAAACAAAGGTTTTGTAAATAGGGGGGTAGGGATGGTTAAAGGGGAAGGTAGGGAAATGGAAAAAACAACCAAGTTAAATACAGGAACAAACTTCCTGTAATGAATGCAATCACTATGTAGACCTAAAATGTACCAATAAGCTTAATTTTTTAAAAAAGGAATGAAGCTGAAGAAAGGTAAGAGTGTGAGAGAAGTGGAAGTTTTGTATCATAATGGCATCATTGGACCAAGTCAAGTTATATTTTATTCTGAGGTAGTTTTGACACAGACAAGAACAGAGCTGCTGTTCAGATCAGTGATTTTAGGCCTTTCCAGCATTTTAAATGAAAACACTAAATGATTCTTCTTATGGTCTGAAGCCTGAAGCTATATCCCCACTTCATATCTCTTGGATATTAATTATGTGACTGAAACCAAGGCAATTAACTTATTTTTGTGACATTCTTGATTAGGTCTTTGTTAGCGGTTTTACAATAACTGGCTTGCTTGATTCTTCCAGTGATGAGGCATTAGCATCGAGAATCTGGCCCCCTCAGTGCTTCACATACCCTCTGATGTGAGAACAGAACATGTTTTTAGTCTGTGCTGCTATAGCACAACACCTTGTGATTAGGTGATTTATAGACAATAGAAATGTATTTCTCATCATTCTGGAGGCTGGGAAGTATGACACTAAAGTATGTGCACTGAGCTCAGGGAAGGCTGCTTTCTGCCTTGTGTGGCAGGTCCCTGCTGCCTCTTCCAGAGAAATGAACATAGGCTTCATGAAGCAAGAGGGACAGATGGGCAGTGCAACACTCCCTTCAACGTTGAGCTCTCTGGTACAGGTGCAGTCCCATCCTGACAGCAGAGCTGCCATGACACGTCCACAAGGCCGCTCTTCCTACTGCTGCTTTGGGAGCCATCATTGAAATCATAAAACAGAACTAATGGGGTGCTTTGTTTCCTCCAGTCATGTATCCCAATTTGAAATGACATGATGTACAAGTGTTCTTTTTAACTTTTTTAAACTAAAATTTGGATAAGGATACTAATGTTAAACTAGATAAAAATATATAAGAAAAATAAGCATAACCACATTTTAGGTACATCAGGTGCGATTATTGTCCTGTGGCCCATTTATTAACTTATAAACAATCAGTTGTGATTACAGATAAAATAATGTATGTAAGGAGTTTTTTGGGTGTTTTGTTTTATTTTGTTTTGTTTTGTTTTGTTTTGTTTTTGGCAGAACAGGGGAATGAACTCAGATCCTTGCATTTGCCAGTCAAGCGCTTATCCTACTGAGCCATCTCTCCGGCCCCAAGCCATCTCCCCGGCCCCTGTAAGGAGTTTTAAAACATACATTTTTTTTTTTTTTTTTTTTGTGTGTGTGTGTGTGTGCATGCATGTATGTGTGTGTATGTGGTACTAGGGATTGAATTCAGGACCTTGCACTTTCCAGGCAAGAGCTTAAACCATTAAGCTATTTCCTCAGCCCTAAAACATAGTTTTGAGGAGCTGGGAATATATCTTAGTGACACAAGCACCTGCCTGGCAAGCACAAGGTCCTGTGTTCAATTCCATTACAAAAAAACAAAAAAAAACCTTTGATGAGGTATTCCAGTTTGGTGGAAAGATTGACTACTCAGTATATAGCTTGTTTTGCTTGAGAATTTTAGCAATTAGATAAGAAGTTGTTCATTCTATGAAAAAGAAAAGTTGTGTTGCTAGTGAGACACCAGGTTCAGTATACCTTGTCCCAGCACCTAAATACAACAGTAATAGTGATGGCCCTAGACTCTGGGTTCAAGTTTCAGCTCTCTCACTTTCTCTGTGTCCTTGCCCAAGTTACTTACTCTCAGTACTTTTTATTCTCTTCTCTTACAGTCTTTAGATTGTCAAGGGGTTGCCCTTGAAGGGAACCATAGGACCTCTGTCTCCTCCATACTCTTATCTCCTTCCTAGCCATGAGATAAGTGGATTGGCTTCACCATATGATCCCATGATATGCTGCCTACCCAGAGCAATGGGCTTGGCTGACTGTGGCCTGGGCTCTTATAACCATAATCTAGGTCACCCTTTTCTGG